ATAATGAAATAGGCCGTATTCTAGAAAATTGTAATCGGGCGAAGTGTTCGGGGTCAATACAGGAATCCTGTCAGCGCAGTACCATTACCATAGTTTCAACCCATAGCGCGCAGTAGTGCGCGTCAGCCAAAAGCTTGTACAATCATAAACCAGTTGGAAAAGGGAGTAATCGAGGAAGTCAGTGAAGAGCGAAGTCTTGAAGGACAAGCTGTGCACTACTCAGCGCATCATGCAGTCATTACTCCTCAGAAAACGACTTCCAAACCCAGAATCGTATTGGATCCATCCGCACACCTTGAGAATTCTCGATCGCTCAACGACGTCTTGACGCAAGGTCCAATTAACCTTCCGAAAATATGCGACAACTTACATCGCTCAAGAATAGGAGAAACAGCAATCACCAGCGACGTAGAGAAGGCCTTCCTGCAAGTTCATCCTACACCCACTGGATAGAAGTACAATCAGATCTATGTGGATACAGAATATCCATGACCGACCTACCCAAGAAAGCATGCCCATAAATAGATTCACTCGCGTCTTTTTCGGACTGAACTGCTCTCCGTTCCTGCTCGCTGGAACAATCAGTCATCGCTTACAGACGATGGTAGAAGATGAGGAAGTAGCCAAGAACGTGCTAAGACAGTACCTCCGTTGACAAACTCGTATTGACAGCATATTCAACGAATGAAGCCTTGAAGATCAAGGAAGACACAAAAAGAACGTCCACCGAGCTCAACATGAACTTACGACAATTCGATTCAAACAAGAGTGTAAAGAACGGGACTGCACCAAAGGAACTATGCCAATCCGAAGAAGTCAAAGTCCCCGGAATCACGTGGAACGCAAGAAGCGGTGATACAACTCCAGAACTGCAGAAAATCACATACAAGCGGTATCTCACAGCTGTCGAAAGAAAATTGGCACTGCAAGTGATCATCCGTAGTCATCAGTTGATACACCTCCAAGAAGCTGCTCCAGAAACAACAACTGGAAACGACCACGAGGAAACAACCAGCCTCAAAAGCCACCGAAAGCAAGACGAGCACTACAATCCAAGACCGCGTCAGAACACTCACCGCAAGCAAAATCAACAATCGGAAGACACAGAAGGCATTGAAAATAGCGAACCAGAACCACCGCGTGCAAGCAGGAAGAATAACCAACAGATTCATCACAAAGACGGAGCAGACGACAACTTCCAAGAACGCCCGCCCCGGAGTATAGAGAATCTCTCTCTATGAACCTTACCGAATCGACTGTGTTATTCCCATACAGTTATAAATGGTTGTTGTTGTCTGCCCTATAAAGGGGGCGGTTGTTCATAATAAACAATTCACTTCTCTCACCTCGCCTTCTACACCGGCCGTGCACACTCCCGCCACACAAATCGCCACATGCCACTCGTTCTTCAGCCTGAAGACCCAAGGATCCTTCGACTTTCGGGTTTGTATTGTCTTTCTAATTCAATGACGCAGAATACGTGTCCATTCATAGGAACGTCGATTTGTGCTCTCAGAGGAAATTCACTGGGGCTTGTTCAAATACCTGTCAGGAGTGTGTGATCGGTTTGGTTCATGGAACAGCTCACCGAGGTAATCCCGTTTTCAGTCATTGCCACACCAGCTTCCATGAGGAGGAATGCGTCCAACCAAACAGTCTTCAAAACGCATTTGCATCCACTGTCCATAATGTCTGCTATCGGTAGTCTAGGTTGTTTTGGTCCAGGCGACATACTATCTACGGTTGTCGTCGGAGCAAAAGGTTCCGGGAAAAGTGCTGAAATAGTGGAAGCTGTAATAGCATGTTTCATAATGTTAACTAGATAGTACCGCTGTAATTACTAACTGGGAGCGGAAGTTTGAGGTCGAGATCCTGTTGTTGTTGACCCATTGACCGTCGAAGTGTTTCCTGCAGTGGTTGAGGTAGTTGACGGCGTAGCTGACGTGGAAAGTGGCAGTGTCGTTGTCGTTGTTAACAGTTTAGATGTAGATGACTCCGGGAGTGTTGTTGCCGTGGTTGACGGTTCAGATGTAGATGAGTCCGGAATTGTCGTCGTCGTGGTTGCCGGTTTAGATGTAGATGACTCCGGAATTGTCGTCGTCGTGGTTGGCAGGTGTAGATGACTCCGAGAGTGACGTCGTCGTGGTTGACGATTTAGATGTAGATGACTCCGGAAGTGTCGTCGCCGTGGTTGACCTAGATGGCTTCAGGGGTCTCGTCGTCGTGGTAGCCGGTTCAGGTGTAGGCGACTCCGGAAGTATCGTCGTCGTGGTTGCCGGTTTAAATGTAGATGACTCCGGGAGTGACGTCGTCATGGTTGGCAGTATAGCACTGGTGAATGTCTTCGGTAGGGTCGTCATCATGGTTGACAGTATGGATGAGGTGAAAGCTGGAAGTGTCGTGTATTCGGCGGATGCCATTCCCGGATTTCCAGATGTGTAATCAAAATCATATCTATAAGTGGAACCTGGAAGTGTCGTGTACTCGACAGATGTCATGCTCGGATCTTCTGATGTGTGGTCAAAATCTGTTCGATAGGTGGATCTTGGAATTGTCGTGTACTCGGTGGTTGCCATTTTCGGATCTTCAGAAGTGTAATCGACATCTACTCCATGTCCTGAATTAAGGTATTATGCAAAAAACTGAAAACTATGTAATACGAGCTTGGGAGGTTGGGCAGAGAAATACTAAAAAAAAACTAGGCAGCGATGAGTAGCGTAGCCGTCCAAACGAGCAGTCCCACTATGAGAGGTATCCGCACTTGTGCTTAAATACCGCCGCTTTTGAAACAAAGTAATCGGACCCACCGACATCAGGATGAGCAAACACTACATTCCTTATTATTCTAACCAGTCGGATCGCCCGGCTGACGCCGAGCGCTCCTCCTTCTTTTTAGCTCGGCTTCGCCAGGCGCGCTCCATAATGGGAAACGGAACTCTTTCAATCACTGGGCTGCTCATACGGCGCTGTATTGGTCGAATCATAACAGATAGAGCAACCCTGCGGATCATGCACTCCTTAGCAAACGCTTATACTTGCGGTCCGCGCCATAACGCCCTTACAATACATAGATAGATATAGATATAAAGTGCAGTCGATCAATAAAGCGCTTGCTGAAGTATACATAATTTTGGGTATTATACTCCCTTATTACTCGTTCACATCAGCAAGTGAAAATTCGAAAGAAAAAAATTCTTGAAGCTTTCCGGACTCTCCTGTTTTAGGCGTACTACATACCCCCCCCCCCCCTCTGCTCGTCGACATCGACATTATATATAGTAGGATAGTGGGATGAGTTCATTTTCTATTGTTATCAGGAAAGTGATGGCTGAAGGAAAAGTTAGCTGATTGAGTCTTCAATACTTCAGTACTTAGCTGTGTAATGTCGTGAGAATGTCCCTGATCTTTTCTTATCAATTGATAAGATTGCCTGTCACCCGTCAACAATGTCCCTATCACTAAAACTCTATAATTTGGTAGTGTAAAGGCTCACTTTGACTGAACAACAACGGCAACGTTCCTTATCAGCCCCTATCAGCTGTTATCACTTCCCGTCACCCGCCGTCGCCGTCCCCACCTCCCTCTTTATATCATTTGCTGAAATCAACGCCTAGCTGATGCTGTGTCCCGCGTTATGGATATGGTGACCTTCCCATTCTAACTCCCCTTATCAAATCTTATCAGCTGCTAGCTGCTTCTGTCACCTACCAATAATGTTCCTGTGCCATACCCTGTATCGTATCCTTGGAACCAAGGCCCCACTGTTGCTGTGTCCCGCGCTGTGAGCTCGGTGACCCTCACTTTCTGACGCCTTTTATCAGATCTTATCAGTTGGTATCACTCCCTCTCTGATGTTCTCGTCACAGCCCCTATATAACTGCTTGGAATCGACTTCCTACAGCTATTGTTACAGCTATTGTTAGGGTCGCTATGAATTTCGTGACAGACAGACACACAAACACACTTAGCGGATTCTATATAGTAGGATACTTCCGTACCGTCCCCTATTACATATTGTGCCATTGTCCTAATGTAACGCTGAAATCTATCCTTTTGTCCATTCTTTTCTCGGGGTTAGTACCAAAATCTTCATAACCCTCACACGAAAATTCAGCAGCTTGTAAGAGCAGCCTTCGAAGCATCCTACCGTTCTCCACCACTGTAGGGTTTTTTCTGGAATGCCCTCCCGCATTCGGCAGTCTAGCGCTTCGAATGGTCCTCTCTCGGGTTGTTGATGGAAGATAGTCATGGTCATAGTGATAAAGTTAGTTGCTGCTGTTCATGGCAACTGAGTAAACAACCGTCATGCATCTGAGAACTACTGAGAGCCTGATACATCGCATTATGGTGGTAAGCGGTGTTGCGGATTTCCATGACTTTCTTTCATGATGACTTCCAACTCTTATCAGTCACTTCGTGTCACCCGTTCAGTGGGTGTCCGCCCCTCCCCCTACACCTTTGGAGCCAAGGTCCCACAGACCCTGCAACCTGCCCTACGAATTTGGTGGCCCTCCGCATCTAAGGTCCCTTATCAAATCTTATCATATGTTATTAGATTCTGTCACCCACCCCGTCCCTCCTGTATACCATCTCGGAACCACGGTCTCAATTCACTGCAGCCGATGTTAGGAATTGGGTGACCCTCCGCGTCTAAGGTCCCTTATCAAATCTTATCAGGTGTTATCAGCTTCTGTCACACACAATATGTCCACCCCCTTTCCCCTACACCACTTCTCGAAATCAAGGTCCCACGGTTGCTGCAACCTGCGCTAAGAATTTGGTGACACCCGCGTCTAGGGTCCCTTATCGGATCTTATCAGATGTTATCAGCTTCTGTCACCCCCCCCCCAATCATGTCCATCCTTCCCCTGTACCACTTCTTGAAATCACGGTCCCGCAGCTGCTGCAACTTGCGCTACGATTTCGGTCACCCTCCCCTTCTAAGGCCCCTTATCGAATCTTATCAAGTGTTATCACCTCCTGTCACCCACCAAAAGTGTTCCCGTCCTGCCTGTATATCACTTCTTGGAACTGTCATCCTATCTTTTTCTGCGACGCTCGCTATGAATTTCGTGACAGACAGACAGACGCACACACATACACACACACACACTGACAGACATACTTAGCGAATTATATATAGTAGGATCATTGAGAGTTTCTAGAGATCCCTACCGGAAACCTAGGGAATGTCCAGAGCTATCTAGCCATTGATACTGCTCACGGAAGAGGTCCTTCTAGGCCGTAGACCCTATTTTCAAAGGTTGCTCCATGTCGTAGAGGTTTATTTGCTGGCCACGAAGGTATAGTCCTTTCTCGCTACGCGCTTCTGGACAATATGCTGATGATTTGAATCCCCTAGGTGACCATTCTGAGTTCCTGCAAATGCAATTTTCTTGTCCAAAAACACCCGAGTCTTTTATATTCAAAGCAGAAGAGCCTTCTATCGGTGAGCTCGCCGTTAATTCATGGAGCTTTTTCACCCCCTCTTGGCAGTCCAGAGGCACGCAGCAGAAAAGAACTGTAGTTCATAGTCCACGCGTTGATTTCTACAACATGCGGCTAACCGTTTCGAAAATGGGATCACGACCTCAATGATCTCCCTTGTGAGAAGTTAACATGACGATTTCTCTCGCGAAGCGCTGCCGCGTTAGTTCTTGATCTGCTTGTTAAGTTAACTCTGTGAAGTCAACTTACTCAGAGTAACAATAAAAATGAAGCAATCTGCTGCGCTTTGTAAAATATGGCTATGGGAAGTCTTGCACTGAATCGGTCACTTTTCATTTTTATTTCTATACTCACAATGATTTGTCGGCCTTAGAAGTACATTTTCTCATCTCAATTTAGCATTCTCTTTTTTTGCAAGTGTGGCTAGTGGGATTCAAACAAGGTTCGAAGCTACAAGTGAAGAGAAAGCTGAAAAGCATAACACCGCCGACAACCTACCAATTAGCCTTTGCGATTGGTTTTGAGCATGGAATGATCTGAGTATCCTACTATATATAATCCGCTAAGTTTGTCTGTTGGTGTGTGTGTGTGTGTGTGTGTGTGTGTGTGTGTGTGTGTGTGTGTGTGTGTGTGTGTGTGTGTGTGTGTGTGTTTGACCGGAATTCTAAACTTTCTTCAGGACAGTGATAGAGCGCTCAACCCGATAAATGATGTAGAGGGTCGACAGGAACACTGGTAGGTGGCAGGAAGTGATAACAGCTGATAAGATACCATAAGGAGCCTTAGAAGGAGTGGGTTACCTAATTCATAACTCTCAGGGCGACCGGACGATGGATCCATGTAGTAAGATAGGGAGCAGGATGGGAACATTATTGGTGGGTGGCAGGAGTGATAACAGCTGATAAGATACCATGAGGAGCCTTAGAAGGGGTTGGTTACATAATTCATAGCGTTGGCCACATCATATCGGACCGCTTCACCGCAGTCAAACAACAGTGCCTCCGAAGAGCCGATTTGACCAACGATGTTCTTTTGTAAACACACCAAAATAACAACAGCAATTGGTCAGAAATCGCCTCTACGACCGAATATGCACCACGGAGAACTGCGTGATCTGTCCGTATGGGAAACTTGGTGACTGTACACAACGGGCTGTCGTTTACCAAATCGAGTGTTTAACGTGTGGCGCATTATATATTGGTGAAACTGGGAGGGCATTAGGCGTACGCGTGAAAGAACATCTAGCAAGCAAACGAAGGGAAGTTTGATTGCACCGCTCAGCAGAGAGGCAATTTCTGACCAATAGGTGTTGTTATTTTCTCTTGGTGTGTTTATAAAAGAACATCGTTGATCAAAACAGCTCTTCGGAGGCACTTTTGTATGGTTGCGGTGAAGAAGAAGAAGAAAGCACAATGATGGCTTTGATTTTAGCGTTAGGTGCATAATATTGGCCTACGAAAACGATGTTGGTGCCCGAAAAACCCTTGAGGCGTTCGGCACCGTAAACTCTGTCTCTGCTTCACGAACTGTGTCTCTCTGTCTCAGAACTGTGTCTCTGCTTTACGAGGGTACGGTAACGTCAGTTACTTACTGGCTGTTGTAGTCGGTAAAGTTTGAGTTCGGTATTTTGTTGCGGTTGATTTAATGGTCGATTTCGTGTTTCTTGCAGTTGTGGTAGTCACCAAATCAGTAGCCGTTCTCGCCCGAACTGTCGTCGTGTGATCGGCGGTCGTCCTATTGGTGCTTGTCGGGAGTTCGGAAGCGTGTCCGACGTCTACTGCATGTGCTAAATTAGCATTTCGTAGTTAGTTTTGTTGACTGTTATGTTGAAATGTGATAATAGACGCAGCAAATAACCCAGCAGAATATCTGGCGATGAGGTAGAAAGAAGCTGAGCAGAGCAGTGCTGTGGGAAACTTTTGAAGCAAGTGGCCCGATAAATCCCCAAGACGTGTAGGTTTAGTACGCCTAGCGGAACTGAAATCGGCGCTACTGGGTACTCGCTGAATGCCGCCTCCTTTAAAGGAATTGCAGCGACTCATCAGGCTGCAACGTACCGGCCCGAACGCCCACCGCGTCCGACCGCCCGCCCGCCAATGTCTGACCGAAGCTAATGGTCGCTTGATTTGCGAAGTACAGTATAAAGCGAAGCGATTAGTGTGAAGACTGCGTGCTGCATGGATATATGAGCACATACATGCAGCCGTATCTACCGCACCAGCTTTTGGCATGATGTCAACGGGGAACTCGTCCGAAATTGCCTTCTGAGTTGCGGAGAACAAAGGCTTCGTTGCAGTTTTTGACCAGTTCACTTGGCCTTTTCACCACTTTACCACTGTTTAGCACCCCTGCTACCATTTTAGGCAGATTACCAAATTATCGTGTCTCATGCCTTCGAGAATGCGTTCGTACCTCACGACTTGAGCAGTACCGTCGCGCGATTTGAGAAACAACCAGCCGTGACCCCCACTGTTGGTAGATGTTGGCAGCAGCGGTCCAAAGAAATTCTTTTTAGAATATCACCGGATTAGCAGTTGCAGCGATGCAACGAGTAACAGCGGTGCGCGGTAACTGAGTACCGCTTAAAGACACATGGTACGCTCAAACACATTGAGGGTGTATGAGACTATCAGCCCCCCAGCTGTCGATGTGTCGTCCCCCCGCCCAAAACTGCACGGGGTCAGAGTACGGGGCCGTGGGAAAGTCGTAATTCCTTGCTACACCGCCCTCACGTTTATGCTAACACCATCCGCGCGGCGCGGTCGCGTGCAGCTCTCTTGGCTTTTTGCCAAGTCCTGTAATTGCGCTTTGGAATACAAGTACAACGCAATTTCTTTATGCGGATAACATTTTAGGTGCTGCAAAATAAGAACCGAAGATGATGACAAGGGCTAGAACTCAAGAGCAACTGTGGTGCTTCTGCAATATCCCTCAGAGGCCGCGCATTCCCACAGAACATGACAATAAAAACGGACAACATGACAATAAAACATGACAATACAAGCAAAACGCAATTTCCTAACATTTGAGGTATTGCTCATGCTTCAAAGTCCGAATAGAAGGTGATGAAGATGACAAAGGCTAGAAATGAACAACAACGAATGTAGATGTAAATAAAACAAAATTGAAAAAACTAAGGAAACGCAATAAATTAAAATCGCGTGTGCATTTCTGCGATCCGGCTCGAATCCGGCTCTAATGCTATAGAAATACTTCAAACTAACGAGTGGGACGCTTAGGCCGTTTTTATTTTGATGTTTTGTGGGAATGCGCGCCTCTGAGGGATATCACAGTTGCTCTTGAGTTCTAGCCCTCGTCATCATCTTCAGTTCTTATTTTGCAGCACCTACACTGTAGTTCGCTGCGGACGGTGGGGCGTGTCAGCCAGAATGAGTGTGCACAGCAACAAAGCCGTTCTCTGCCTTTTGTTGAAGCGCGCATGCGACAAAGTGGTAGAAAACGAGTAATACGAACGATATGATACAGCATTGTCACTTGCTCGCTTCAACAACTGGTGGAGAACGAGTTTGGCACCGCGCCAAACGCAGCCGCACTGACACGCCCAACCGTCCGCAGAGAACTACACTATAAAATGTTATCCGCATAAAGGAAATTGCGTTGTACTTGTATTCCAAAGCGCAATTACAGGACTTGGCAAAAAGCCAAGAGAGCACGCGACCGCGCCGCGCGGACGGTGTTAGTAAAAACGTGAGTTTGCAAAAACGGGCGGCGTAGCAAGGAATTACGACTTTCCCACGGTCCCGTACTCTGACCCCGTGCAGTTTTGGGCGGGGGACCACGACACATCGACAGCTGGGGGGCTGATAGTCTCATACACCCTCAATGTGTTTAAGCGTACCATGTGTCTTTAAGAAGTGTTCATGTTTTGCGCCACCTAGATCGCTGTTTCAACCTTTTTAGAGGTTGATCTTGTTCAGTAATGTTCAGCTTTGACGTTGCGCTGGTCAATCGGACGTGAACTGGATGACACTCACCACAAATTTGCTTGCCCACATACTCTGCGATATAGTCGGGATTGAATCTGCCACTATACACACTTGCGAACTGAAGTGTTTGTTGTAAAGGAGCAGTCTGAGAATGTCATTTCAAGGCTTACCTTTGGCCAGTTGCGAAATGAAGACTTCCCAAAGTTGATGACTACAGCGTTGAAATTCAGTAGCTTCTGTTCGCGGATATAGCTTTGAAGGAGTTTTCCCGCGGCGTCCACCTCTTCCTGGCTGCAATTCAGTTATAGTCATTGTTTTTTGTATCATTACCAGTCGGCTCGCCGGCTGACGCCGGCGCGCCTCCTTCTGATACGGCCCGGCTGCGCCGGGCGGGCGCGGCTTCGCCGCGCGTACCTTCTTTCACATATTTCTAGACTCAACTGATATCAGGCTTTTGTTCTGTACTCATGGTTAAAGCTTCTCGACAAATACATCATCCCTGCTATTTTGACTATTACTGAGTATGGAGTGGTACTAAAGTGCGTATGGGCACAGGCGAGAGAATAGCTGGGGAAGGAATGTGTGGCGAAGCCGTGCCCGTCCGGCCAACTTGGGCCGTATCACAGGAGGAGGAGCGCTGGCATCAGCCGCCGAGCCGAATGGAACCTACTACCTATCGGTGGTTAAGAGTATGACAGAAGGTGGTCAAGAGTATGGCAGAATAGCGCTAAAACTCAGTAAGAATAAGTCATGCGCTCCGCCCACTGGGAGCGGGTTACAACACACCACAGACACACTCAACTCTTGCCATATATCCAACAGTTGAGGTCCTGCACATCTCTGCTTACATGTTGACGGTGTCTGGACCGCTCTGAACCGTTTTACAGGTTTTTCTTTGACTCCGCTCATTGGAACAGGCTCCGCCCATAATGTTTGTGCCCCACAATTCACCGGCGACCCTCTGCTGACCTTAGTCCATCTTTTTCCGGCTGGAGTGCTGTGAAACTATTTTACAGATGGGTTCTGGACCTATTTTGCAGATCTCCTTTCTAACTCCACCCACCTCGGAGCAGGCCCCGCCCACAACATTTATGCCCCACATTTCTCAATGGGCGACCAACTCAATTTGTTCCGGTCTTTGAAGTGCTCTGAACTATTTTACAGATTTTTCGTCTGACTCCGCCCACCTCGGAGCAGGCCCGCCCACAATGTTTGTGCCCCACAATCCTCACCGGCGACCCTCTGCTGACCTTAATCCACTTTTTTCCGGTGTCTGGAGTGTTCTGGAACCGAGCTACAAACTTTTAAAATGAATACCCTGCGATTTAGGGCAAGCTCCGCCCACTGTGGGCGGGTCTCAACACACTTTGAGCGTGCCCTATATTCGCCAGATATTTACATTCTACACTGAGTTTTTGCGACTTCCAAACACTCGCGAACCGGGTTACTGAATTTTGCGAGAAGCACCGCCCACCTTGAGTACGCCCCGCCCATTTTGGATGTGTCTGCCACAGTTAGTCTGGCTCCTTGCTAACCTCATTCCACCCCATCTTTGAGCTGCTCCGGAAGCGAATTATGAACATTTCTGTGCGGAACCCCAAACTTTCGGCGAGTGCCCCGCCCACAGTGGGCGGGGCACTCGCCGAAAGCCCGAGGTGGGCGGAGCCAGACAAAAATTCTGTAGAACGGTTCCAGAACACTCCAGACACCGGAAAAAAGTGGATTAAGGTCAGCAGAGGGTCGTCGGTGAAGATTGTGGGGCACAAAAATTGTGGGCGGGGTCTGCTCTGAGGTGGGCGGAGTCAGACGAAGAATCTGTAAAATAGCTCAAGAGTACTTCAGACACCGGAATCAGTTGAGTCTAGAAATATGTGAAAGAAAATACGCGCGGCGAAGCCGCGCCCGCCCGGCGCAGCCGGGCCGTATCAGAAGGAGGCGCGCCGGCGTTAGCCGGCGAGCCGACTGGTAAACTATACATACAAGATGAGCAAAACGTGAGTTCATGACTGAACATACCTGCGCTTGTCCAAGCTCTGAATTTTGCTTTTTATTAGGTCCCCATCTTACCTGCTGTTTGTCATCAGTACCAGTGTTGTATCGCTCAGTCCGTAGTCGTTGAAGATAATTCCGACAATTCTGAAAATTAGTTGTTTCCTGTAACTGGTGGTGCAGTCCGTTCCTCCAAGTGGTGCCACCGGGTACTGCCCGCTTTTGCGGGTTGCAGAACACGGACAAACTCGAGGCAGGTGACAGGCCTTCGTGACGGGCCGACCTACGAACACCCCATGTCACATCACAATGTTTAACTATGCCACATGATTTCACGAGATAATGCTACGGCGTCCGCGGGAGCCGACGCGCACTCGTATGGCCCGGCGAGGTTCCCTGATGCAAGGACGGCATCGGGGGGCAACCAGGCTAGTCCGAAAGTCTGGCAACGTTTGGAAGGCTCGCCTTGCAACGCTGAACGTTGGGACCTTAACAGGGCGCTCATTCGAGTTGGCAGAAGCACTGGAGCGCAGAAAACGATCTCTGCGCAGTGCAGGAGACACGATGGTCTGGTTGTCAGTCGAGAGATATTGGTCGTGGCTTCAAAGCCGTTCTTTGTGGTGGACCGAGAACTAAAAATGGTGTAGCTGTAATCGTTTCTCACCGACTTCCGTGACTACCACTGTTACTCGTTTTGTCGACTGCTTAATGAAATTGTTGTCACTGTTGAACAACGTCTATGCCGTTTATGCCTACTCTGCGTATGCCCGCAAACTGGATGCTCTGAGTCCAAGGACGACTTCTGGGCTCTGTTGAATGAGAAGGCGGCTGAAGTACCACCAGAAGACGGTATCATTGTAGCTGGCCACCTAAATCAAATTCCCATCTCATCACCTTCTACAGCGGGAGTTCCAAAACACAAATAGACTTTGTTCTTATCAGGCATGGCGATCAAGGACTCGTCACAGACGCTAAGGTCGTGCCGTACGAGACAGTTGCCCCACAACACCGCCCGCTGATCTGCACGCTGAAATTTACAGCACCCAGATCGAAACACACCGAGCGGTGTGCCCTCGAGAGGATCAGGCGACTGAAAGAGCGGGAGGCAGCCATGATTTCTCGTATCCGCTTACCGGAGGTCACGACTGTCGAAGAAACTGGAACAAAGCCGTTGAATCGATAATCCAGGCCGCTCGTTCAGAACTCGGCATGACCAAGCCTGGGCGGCGTAGGATTGACAAGCAGCCTTGGCTTTGGACGGACGACGTCCAGGCGAAGGTTCGAGCGAAAAGGAACTTTATCACGTGTTTCTTGGGAACAAGACGGCTGACAACTGGCGGAAGTACCAGGAAGCGAGGACTGCGGCAAAGAAGGCGGTCGCCGTAGTGAAGGCCGCTCATTTCGACGATGTCAGCAAGAAACTTGAGACTCGCGACGGTGAGCGGCACTTGTACCGACTTGCCAAGTCGTCACCGCCAAACCGAAGACATAGAAAAGTTTTTTGGCATCAATGACGAGAATGGCCATCTTCTGATGAACCGAAAGAGGGTATTGCAGCGATGGCACGACTATTTCGAGAAGATCTCGACGAAATCTCACCCATCCGGTTATCCCCTCACCGTTCAGGAGACAGAAGCGGCTCTGAAGAAGATGAAGGCAGGTAAAGCTACAGGCCCCGACGACCTAGCAGCGGAAGTCACAGCACTGGTACTCCGCAGAATGGTTGACAAAGCTTTTCAACCAGATCATCGCAGAGAAGAAGGTGCCCAAGGACTGGTTGCAAAGCACGACGATTCCGATTTGGAAGAAGAAGGGCAGTCCAGCAGATTGCTCGAACTACCGTCCGATTCTCTCGCACACTATGAAAATCTTTGAGCGAATTGTTGATGGCCGTATTCGTGACATCGTCCAGCTCTCTGCCAACCAGTGTGGCTTCGTAACTGGCTGTAGTCGACGCCATTCACGCTGCCCGCCTTTTGCTTGAGAAACATCGTGAGAAGCAAAAGCCTGTGCATGTAGCCTTTCTAGATCTGGAAAAGGCATTTGATCGCGTGCCGCGTTATATGGTACGCCTTGCGACAACACGGTGTCCCTGAAGAGCTAATCGAGTGGGTCCGCATCCTTTATTCAAAGCCAGAGAGCCAAGTGCGGACTCTTGCAGGCACCTCGATGGAGTTTCCCATCACCGTTGGGGTACACCAAGGCTCCGCTCTCTCCCCACTCCTTTTTGTTGTCGTCATGGATGCCATCACACGAGACCTTCAGAAGGAAATTCCTTGGACGCTCCTTTACGCTGATGATGTGATGCTTGCATGCGAAGACAAGAGCACGCTAGAGCAGCAAGTGCAAGCTTGGGCTGATCGCCTGGCAAAGTTTGGGCTCAGGTTAAACGTGAATAAGACCGAGTACCTGACAACCGACCCAGCCGAGACGGGCTCCATCAAAATCGATGGCACTGAGCTCACGCGTACAAAAACATTCAAGTATCTGGGATCAGCAATTACGTCCGATGGAGATCTCAAAGCGGAGGTGAGCGCACGGGTGAGTGCAGCGTGGGCAAAATGGCGATGCATGTCGGGGATCCTCTGCGACAGGAAGATGCCAGAGCGGCTCAAAGTCGAAGATCTACAGAAGTGTTGTTCGACCAGTCGCCGTATTCTTCTCGTCTCTTTGGATGTTGCGTTGGACTGCGGGTGTCACGCGTTTGGACCGCACTTGTAACGAGGTAATACGCAAGAAGTTCGGCATAGCTCCTATAGCTGACAAAATGCGAGAAACGCGCCTTCGATGGTACGGCCATGTACTTCGCGCAAAGGCTGACACCGTCTGTAGGACTGGCCTTCAGCTTGAGGTGCCCGGAAAGCGACCTAGGGGACGTCCCAGACAACGCTGGCTCGATACGTTGCATACAGACTTGAAAATAGCTGGAATTCACCCCGATCAGGCATTTGATCGGGAAAAGTGGCGTCATCACATTAGAAGAGCGGACCCCGCCGCTGAGCGGGACAAACGCTAAAGAAGAAGAAGAAGTTGTTTCCTGTAATTCGTTGAAACCTGCGAAATATGTGCTCAACCAGTTATTCGCGCCAGATGTTTCACTATGCTCTAAGCTAAGATTGTCCCACACTCTAGCCTAAATGAGTGGCAAGAATCACGGAAGCTTGAGGTACAGTACCCACCGTAAGTGTTCAAAAAATTACGAAAAAAACGCCGATCCGCGTTTTTTTCGTTTTTTCGTTATAGAGCTGTTCCTGTTGACTTTTTGTATGGATACCCATATATGGTTAGAATCAGCTCGCCGAGCTGTATCCGAGGGTATGCTCATATTCTACGACATTGGGTTTTGGCCGGCGCCATTTGGCGCCACTTGGCGACACCTTAGCGCCACAACTTTTCTCAACAACATCTGTATAAACTTGCTTACTGGGGCTATTCAGTGCCCTGTTCACGAAAGTGGCATTCATTTCTAGCCGCGGCGCCACTTTTGGCGACACGATCTTTCCCAAAAAAATCCTGTATAAACTTGCATAATGGGGTTTCTCGGTGCCCTGATCACGAATGTAACATTCACTTTCTAGCCATGGCGCCGTTCGGTGCCATTTGGTGCCAATTTGGCGCTACCCAGTTTTCGCCAAAATTGATAAAAACATGCATGGGGTGGTGTGGTTCGATGCCCTAATCACGAATCGCCAGCCTTAGCAGAGTGATCGTAGAGTCCGTTAGCGCCGGCGCCTAAGAAATGAACGTTATACAATCAAGCGACCCGGTATACAAGTGCTCAACAATTTTGGTGATCTAGTGTTGCGCCAGCACCGATGGCACGGGCGCCAAACAGTTAGGACCAAGCGGTTATGACACTAGGTTCAGGAAATTAGCCGGCGCCTGTGGCACAAGAGCCAAGCGGATGTAATATTTGGGTCTATGGATCACACTATCACGGGGACAAGTTCGCAACCAGTCTGCTGTTGCGAACTGCTTTGGCGCCGGCGGTAGACAGGTGCCAAGCGCACAAGATATTCGTATGCACGCAGTGAGACCACTCTAGTTGATTTGGCGATCTGCGGTATCTAAGTTCCATCAATTACACTGATGTAGAGTCCGATCGATATGCATTGGTCGGCTAATGATCACGTGAATTTGAACTGTAAATACATGCAGTAGTCACGTGAGCGAGCGGCTGAAAATTAGTGGCGCCAAATCGGCACCAAATGGTTTCGTGATCAGGGCACCGAGAAACCCCATTATGCAAGTTTATACGAGTTTTTTTGGAAAGGTCGTGTCGCCAAAGTGGCGCTAGTGGCGCCAAATCGGCACCTAATGGCGCCAAATGGCGCCACGGCTAGAAATGAATGCCACTTTCATGCACTGAGTAGCCCCAGTAAGCAAGTTGAAAAGTTGTGGCGCTGAGGTGTCGCCAAGTGGCGCCAAATGGCGCCGGCCAAAACCCAATGTCGTAGAATATGAGCATACCCTCGGATACAGCTCGGCGAGCTGATTCTAACCATATATGGGTATCCATACAAAAAGTCAACAGGAACAGCTCTATAACGAAAAAACGAAAAAAACGCGGATCGGCGTTTTTTTCGTAATTTTTTGAACACTTACGGTGGGTACTGAATATGGTACCTTGAGGGTGCCTCGCCGATCTGGGGCAAGTTTGTTAGCAGTCGTATCTGGCGGCGTAGGGGCGCCATCTCTTCTGCCTGATCGCCTCCCGATACATAATGAAAACCAATGCTTCCTTTGAATGCCGTTCTCGAAAATTGAGATATACTATTGAAAGCAACCCATTTCACAAGAGCGACAACCTTCCTGACACTGCTTCGGTTTACTGATGATGCGATTCAGTTGGTGCAATACTTTGTAGGATCAATGTAACCCTCGCTTCCCATGCTCGTTAGGTCCAGGGGATGACGCATAGAGTTTTCGGCTACTTACCGAGGAAGTTCGCCAAGTTAACATGGAACTTCGAATGGGAGACCCCGGTAGATCGATAGAATCTATAAGGTTGCCCACTAGAACTTCGAATGGGAGACCCCGGTAGGTCGATAGACTCTATAAGGTTGCCTACAACTGATTGCAAAACTGCAACTTTCATCTCACAAGCAACTTATGCAGGTAAAGTTTGTAATGGTGCAGTAGGGTGGAGGTCGTGTGTTGTTCAGCGGTAAAGTTCGACGTATGCGACTCCTCGCTTATGCTTCACAGCTCACCACCAAGCCTTCATCCTACTTCCTTCTTCTTCTTCTTCTTCTTTAGCGTTTGTCCCGCTCAGCGGCGGGGTCCGCTCTTCTAATGTGATGACGCCACTTTTCCCGATCAAATGCCTGATCGGGGTGAATTCCAGCTATTTTCAAGTCTGTATGCAACGTATCGAGCCAGCGTTCCTGGGACGTCCCCTAGGTCGCTTTGCTGAAGGGCTGAAGGCCATTCCTGAAGATGGTGTCAGCCTTTGCGCGAAGTACATGGCCGTACCATCGAAGGCGCGTTTCTCGCATTTTGTCAGCTATAGGAGCTATGCCGAACTTCTTGCGTATTACCTTCGTTACAAATGCGGTCCAAACGCGTGACACCCGCAGTCCAACGCAACATTCTCGTCTCCATCACACTTAGACGGGCTTCTTCTTTGGTAGCGGGCCAGCACTCGGCGCCATTTAGGGCGACTTGTCGATGTAGATCTTCGACTTGAACCGCTGTGGCATTCTCCTGTCGCAGAGGATCCTGGCTACATCCCGCTTTTTCAGTCGCCTGATCCTCTCGAGAGGGCACCCCGCTCGGTGTGCTTCGATCTGGGTGCTGTAAATTTCAGCGTGCAGATCAGCGGGCGGTGTTGTGGGGCAACTGTCTCGTACGGCACGACCTTAGCGTCTGTGACGAGTCCTTGATCGCCATGCCTGATAAGAACAAAGTCTATTTGTGTTTTGGAACTCCCGCTGTAGAAGGTGATGAGATGGGAGTCGCGTTTACGAAACTTTGTATTCAGAATGACGAGATTATGCCTGCATATTCAAGGACTCGCTCACCATCGGCGTTCCTTGATCCGTAGCCGAATCCACCGTGACAAGCATAGCCGTCTTTAGCAGCGCCCACGTGTCCATTTAGGTCGCCAGCTACAATGATACCGTCTTCTGGTGGTACTTCAGCCGTCTTCTCATTCAACAGAGCCCAGAAGTCGTCCTTGGATTGCTCAGAGCATCCAGTTTGCGGGGCATACGCAGAGAAGTGGTATAGACGTTGTTCAACAGCGACAACAATCTTCATTAAACGGTCGCCAAAACGAACAACACTGGTAATCGAGTCACGGAATCGGTGAGAAACGATTACAGCTACACCATTTTTAGTTCTCGGTCCACCACAAAGAACGGCTTTGAAGCCACGACCAATATCTCTCGACTGACAACCAGACCATCGTGTCTCCTGCACTGCGCAGAGATCGATTCTTCTGGCGTGCTCCAGTGCTTCTGCCAACTCGAATGAGCGCCCTGTCAAGGTCCCAACGTCAGGGACCCTCGCCGAGGCCATACGAGTGCGCGTCGGCTCCCGCGGACGCCGTAGCATTATCTCGGAAATCATGTGGCATAGTTAAACATTGTGATGTGACATGGGGTGTTCGTAGGTCGGCCCGTCATAATTCAGGTCAGGCCCGAAGGCCTGTCACCTGCCGTCGAAATTTGTCCGTGATCTGCAACCCGCTAAAGCGGGCAGTACCCGGTGGCACCACTTGGAGGAACGGACTTCACCACCAAGCCTCCACCTGCACCATTACAAACTTTACCTGCTCATAAGTTGCTTGTGAAATGCAGGTTGCAGTTTTGCTATCTATATTTGTAAATAACCTTATAGACTTCGATCTACTCCAGGCCTCCAGAGTTTCGTAGTAGGTTGACGAACTTCCTTGCTTAATCCACTTTTTGTCGAGTCAGTGACCACCTGCGATTTATTGTGAGCTTTGGGAACTTGCGAGCTTTGTTTTCAAGAGTAAATCTTGGACGGTTGGACGCTAACTGACGCACTGATGTGTTTGGTAAGACCTTCAAGGAGTCTTCTCACCCTGCAAGTTTTTTGTAAGTGGCCGAGTTAACGGCTTTTTGTAGACTCGCCAAATTGTCGCATATTTGATGTCTGCTGTCGCTGTAGTAGTAAAGCTTGGATGTGAGCTCGCCTGTAAAAACGAAGTAACCTGAATGAGATCAGAAAATTCAATGATTCCATCAGAATCATGTCGTCAACCTACCACTGGTAGCCAATCCAACGCTGATGAAATGTTTTCTTATGTCAAGCTGCTGAATGATCGAAGTGGAGATGATGAATACCTTCAATAAATTCACTTGTAGTTGAAAAACATTACGGAACATAATGAAAAAACACATCCTGCGACCGTGGCTGGCAGCGTGCATCGAAGCGTCAGGAAAAAAAATGGAAACTGTGGTTTAGTGGACCTAGTTTGGATACCGTCTAGTCTACCGTTGTAAAAATTTTTGCGAAGTGGCAGTGAAGAATCCGTAACTAAGAGTGGGGCAAGGTGGTTGTACACCGACTGCTGGAGAAGAGGTCGATAGGTGGTGTTTAAGTGTAAGGATTTCGAGTTAACTGTCAGAGGTCGTAATCAGCGTATGCGTATGGATTGAATCTGCAACGATAGCATACGCAAGAAGCTCGACTAGCTTCCATAGCTGATAAAATACAAGAATCTCGTCTCGATGGTATGGCCACGTACTCCGCGCGAATACGGACAGCGTCTGCAAGACTGGTCTCCAGCTCGAGGTGCTCGGTGACCTAAAGGACGTCCTAGGCAACGCTGGCTCACGCTGCACGCGGATCTAAAGATAGTTAGTGCCCACTCTGAAGAAGCATTAAACCGGGAGGAACGGCGTACCAACATCAGAAGAGCGGATCCCGCAATAGAGCAAGATGAACGGTGAAAAATAAGGAGGTCGTCGTCAGCGCAAGGGTAAGGAGGTAGTGCTGAACGATCAACATTTGCCTCTCGATGGCGACGCCTCATCGCAAATAAAACGCTGCTAGCACAACGAGTGATGGCTCGTGCTCGTTACAAGGATATGGCTTCCTTCATACTTTGCAATATTGGGACATCGGAGGCGAAAGTATGTGTGCATTGATATTTAGAATCAACACTTTTGAGAATGCTTAGTTCCAGATAGAAAGTCGCGATTCTGAGGATGTGTGACAGAACTTAGAATGGGAATCGACGTCTATGGGCAAAAGCGTTTCGAAGAATTCTCGACTCAGTATAATGCGTGATCCGAGAGAGTTGTACGACTTGTTAGGGGAGAGGTCATGAGATTCTCATCATCTGTTGGTGATATTTGTTTGGGATATGCGAATTTTCATTGGCAGCGATTCCTCCACCATCGTAAATGTGCTTCGATAGACCAAGATGTAGACGTTCTCAACTCGCTGATACCCTTACAATGTGTCCTCAAGTTGGGAGCTCTCGCCCTTATCCAGGTGATCTTCCCAATAAGGCTGCTTATACTTTGCGGCAGCGTACGCCAGGGTACGCTAGCGTTTCCAGCGTTCGCCAGCGGCAGTGGCAAGGGAAGGATGGATATCGATCTAGCGTCACCAGCGTGCGCTAGCGTAACGCTAGAGTATTCTAACGTACGCTAGCGTAACACTATAATACTCTAGTGTAGCGATGGCAATGAAGGCATAGGTTTCGATCTAGTATCTAATTCGGTATTGCGTGCGGCTACACCGCTGCAATTCCACAGCACGCATAATCAAACTGTTTTCTACTCTCCTACTCTCCCATAGTCTCTACTCCCTGCCGCTGCAAACGCTAGTGAAACGCTGGTGAAACGCTGGAAAACGCTAGATCGATACCTATGCTTTTGCCCTCGCTACGCTAGCATACGCCGGCGTAACGCTAAAGTATTCTAGCGTACGCTAAAATACTCTGGCGTTACGCTAGCGCACGCTGGTGACGCTAGATCGATATCTATCCTTTCCTTGAAGTGGCTGGCGAACGCTGGAAACGCTAGCGTACGCTGCCGCAAACTATAAACCCAACCCAAGTGTTTTGTGAGAAGGAGGTGAAAAGAGGAGGGGATAGTGAAAAATACTTAAGCAAACGTCCTTGATTTTTTGTGTCCATGGTTATCCCATGGTATAAACGTTCACGGTCTCCAATGCTTAGTCTTCGTTTCCAACGCTTCCTTGCAATCCGCTGAGTGTGAGTCCAGTTTAAGTCGACTCACTTCCCCTTTCTTCATGAGCGTTGACATATCAGATGAGACATCCATAACTATCATGGCACGACGTTTACAGGAATGCCTGATGTCCCACGTTTCAGTGCAGTCCGGGTCAATGCCATAACAACCGCGAAAAAACCCTGAAAGCAAAGAGCTCAAGGAGAATGATATACATTGCTTCCCACGATTACATAAGGTTGAGGAAAGTTGTAACATAATTTTTGAAGTTAAGCTTTGTTTTTATAGAGAGGCGTATGAAATCAAAAATACCGCATTGCTACTGAGGGACTCTTGTCAGCTTTCGCGCGCTCAATGGATGAAATCGCTTCACAATGTGGGCCGGCGCGACGCAAAGTTGAACATTATCTCTATCCTACCATGAGCTGAGATCGTGAAGCTTTTATAGTCCACACTGCGATAAATACGGGAGCCAACGTGCAGTCAGATGAAGAGTGACTTGGCTACGCCGGGGCGAGGGGAACCTAAGGCTGCGTTTATACTTTGCGGCAGCGTAGCGCAGCGCTTCCAGCGTACGCCAGCGGCTATCGATCTAGCGTTCTCAGCGTCACCAGCGTTTTGCTAGCGTTTGCAGCGGCAGGGGAGTTCAGACTATTTGGTTGTAAGAGTTGATGTATATAGTAGAGACTATGTGGTCCGTCAGAGACGCGCAATCGATGTGTATAGTAGAGACTGAGGGCGAGTGAGAGACGCGCAATCGATGTGTATAGTAGAGACTGAGGGCGAGTGAGACGCGCAATCGATGTGTTTTGTACCCTCCAGCTCTCCCATAGTCTCTACTCCCCTGCCGCTGCAAACGCTAGCAAAACGCTGGTGAAACGCTGGCGTAACGCTAGCGTTACGCTGGTGACGCTGGGAACGCTAGACTGATATCCATCCTCTCCCCGGCACTGTCGCTGGCGTACGCTGGAAGCGCTACGCTGCCGCAAAGTATACAGCCTAAACAGTTCCACTGCATGAG